TGGTGGCCGACCCTAGACTTTGACCTTTGTGACCTAGCAAAAGGAGCATGGAAGGGGATCCCAGCAGGAAAGGTAGCCATGCACCCAGGTTGCAACTCAGAATCACAGAGAAAGGCTCTCCGTAATTGCTATTTCTATGTGTGCCCTGGCACAGGCTGGGGGACAGAACAGATAGCAAAATGTGGCAGCCCCCAGGATTTTTGCTGTGCTATATGGGGTTGTGAGTCATCAGGCTGGTTCAACTAGGCGGTTCCAGTGAAAAATGATCTCATTCAAATCAAAAAAAGTACAAGGGGGGACGGCAGTCCATGCCGAAACTCTTAAATGTAACCTACTCAAATTAGAGTTTACTGAAGAAGGAAAGAAAGCCCAAGGGTGGGAAGTAGAAAAAACATGGGGACTCAGGATCTATGAAACCAGTGAAGACTGAGGACTTTTGTTTACTATTCAAAGATCCCAAGACCCTGTTAGTGTGGGACCCCCAGCTGGAGTAGACCTGAACCTAGTGCTTAACCTCTGGGCCAAAATGCCCCCCATGATAACATCTCCCACCAGGTCTACACCCCTTGGTGGGACCCCATTGTGGCCCCTGTCTGGTGTAAAATTAACCCCTGCCTCAGCAGAGCCCAATCCCCTCTAGAGCCTAATTGTCAGCACCTACGGGGTACTGAACTCTTCTAGGCCTGACCTTACCAGATCATGCTGGCTCTGCCTAGAGGCAAAACCCCCCTATTATGAAGCAATTTCCCTATCAAGAAACCCCATTAGCCTATAGGCTAGTGACTGCAGGTGGCACCAGGAGGGTCCCCGGCTCACTCTACAGGCTGTTATAGGGCAGGGAACCTGTGTTGGCCAAGCCCCAGAGCTGCACCAAAGCTTGTGTACTCAAACCCTCAGCTAGAACGGCACCAGGTATCTCATACCCCCGAAGACACCCCTGAAAGCTTGTTCTACAGGGGTCGCGCCCTGCCTACATGGAACAGTGCTCAACTTGACGCGTGACTTCTGCGTCCTAGTGCAGCTCATCCCCAAAATAAAATATTGTAGTCCAGAGTATATCTACCAGGCCTATGAGTTCCGCTTGCCAGCCAGATTTGAAAGAGAGCCAATCACTGCAATCACCGGGGCAGTGCTCATGGGACTTGGTATTGCAGGAGCCGGGGCTGGCATTTCTTCCCTAGTTCTTTAAGATAAGAACTATGGTGCCTTGCGTACTGCAATAGATTTAGATAATTGAGAAAATAGAAAAATCTATTTCCCACTTGCAAGAGTCCCTAACATCCCTCTCTGAAGTAGTGCTTCAGAACAGACGAGGTTTAGATCTACTATTTTTCCAGCAGGGCGGGCTGTGCGCCACCCTAGGTGAAGAATGCTGTTTCTATATAGACCATTCAGGAGTTGTTAAACAGTCCATGGAACTAGTTCGAGAGGGGCTCCGAAAATGAAAATTAGAAAGAGAGCTAAAGGCCTGAACACAGATGTATCCTCCAAGGTCAGAATACTCAGTGCTGCTGAGGGTGGGTGCTCCCCAAACTGACTGATGTGCAGAACAGTGCTGCCGTGAGGCAGCTCCTTCCAGACCCAATGCACTCACCTACACCCCACTGTAGTCATTCTCCCTCTTGACAGTCACACGGGAGAGAATCACGTCCACAGGAAGCACTCAGTAGCTCATAGCAGCATTGTTCACAAAGGCCAGAAGCTGGACCCAGACCAGTGATACTAAAGTGATGAACACAGGGCAGACGGCGCCTGTGTGGGGGAACATCACGGCCCTGGACAGGAGCAACTTTGATGCAGTGGCAGGTGCAAAATACTGTGGTGAACAGAATACATATTAATGTAACACTTTGTAATTCCACTTGTAAGGGGAGCTTTAGAAAAGGATGACTAGCCTCAGATGGCAGGTGAGTGGTCACTGGGAGCCGAGGGCAGAGGGGAGACGAGAGGGAATTGGGGGCATGAATAAAATTTGTTTCTTTGGAGAGACTAGTAAAATTGGCAAACTCCTGGAAGGCAACAGGCAAAAAGGCAAGGAAAATAAGTCACGTGGAACCCTTGTTAGAATGAAAGGGACAGTAATGACACATTTCTTTGGACCTTAAAAAGATGACATAATGATATTATAAAATACCCCTTTGCAAATAAATTTGCAAATGGAAGTGAAATGTTTCAGTTTCTAGAAAAAGGGGTTCAAAAACTGACACAAGCAAAAAGAGAATATAGAAAATCTCCTAGACAGCTTAGAGAAATTAATCCTGTAATGCAGAGATTTACACATGCACACCCACATCCTTCCAGGCAGTGAACTGTAGCAAACTTCAAGACAATTTATTCCAGAGGGTAGAAAATAGAACAAGCACTTTGCAAATTCATTTTATAAAACCATCATGATCTTGATACTATCATAATATCAAACACAGGACCGCTGATCCTATGATTAGAAACATTCAGTGAAATTCAGCACTCATTTCTGAGGAAGAGACCGATAGCAAACTACGAACAAAAAGCAAATTTGAGAACATCCCCAAACAAGCCTATCACTCCCCAAATATCGCCCTCTGTTCTCCAGTGCTTGCTGGTGGCCTTTACCGAGGTTTTAAGATTAAGAAACAGAGAAGTCAGAGAGGACAGGAAGGTGGATGGTGAAAATTTCCTATCAGCCCGGAGCTGACGGCAGGTGTGGGCAGAGGAGAGGCGCTCTGTAGGGAAGATTTCCTGGGCGTTTTTCTGCTGAAAGTCTGGCTGACTTTCTCAAAACACTCTCATAATATGCAGGTGTTACTGTTCTTTGGCCCTTCAGACAGCCAGCAGAGTGTCGTGAGTGTCCCACATACTATTGTCAGGACCTTTGCTCCTGACCAGTCTGCTTTTGCTCTGACTGGACACACCCATCTCTTGGTGGCTGTTGCTGCAACCGCGCTGTCTCAGGATCATACTGGGAAGGCCGTGCTCTGCCTCCTGTTATAGAACTTCAGAAAGATGCTGCAGGACTCCTGCCCACGTGTTCGCAATTCCACTGAAAGTTCTGCTGTTGTTACCTACGTGGAAAGTTTGCTCCACTTTAATTTTTCTGCCAGAATTGTGTGAACCAGCTGAGATATCTGAGCTACTGCTTGTGGTGTTGTCGGTTTCGTATAATCACAGCATGAACAGGTGAGTTTTTTCCTTGCAATGGACTTGAATGATGCTGTGGGCTTCACTGTCAACTTCCCTTCTTAAAACTGCTCATCTCCGTGTAAACCGATTTCTCTGGGGCTTTGGCCCCATAAACTTTTCGTAAAGCATCATTGATCTCACCATCTTCCACCCACACTTCCCCATAAGTGTGATCTTTGTTCTTGCTTTAATTTTAGCAGGATTCATGTTGCCCTGGCAGTGGTTCTTTCTAAACTGATGTCTTACTCTCTTTAGTGCCTCCTGCTGGAGTCTGGAGGGGTTTTTTTGGTGCAAAAATATTTTGGAATCTATGCCTAGTTTTTTCGTAATATATATTTTCCATGAACTTTGTGAAGACCCATCACACAAGACATTGAACAAATTCATATGAAAAAGACAATGTTTAAAAAAAAATACAAGGGATGTGGAGGACAGCTCACAGAAAAGAATATTAAAAATAGCCAGTAAATATAAAAGGTCTTCAATCTCACTTAGAATCAAGAAAATGCAAATTAAAGTCCTAAAATTATGCTGCTAAAATATACCAACCAAATTAAAGTTATTAATAATACAGGGGCAGCGCCTGTGGCTCAAAAGAGTAGGGCACCGGCCCCATATGCCACAGGTGGTGAGTTCAAACCCAGTCCTCGCCAAAAAGAAAAAAAAATAATAATGTTAAGTCTGCTGAAGATCAGTTTCCCATACACTGCCTCCTAGTGGGCAAGTTGGTACAGATGCTTTAGAACTGAGGTTGGCACAGTCCAGGGAACATGTTTGGCTCCCATGAGAGCTAATTTTCTGCTGCTCTGATAAATTACACAGATTTCATGCTCAAGACAGCGTCCCCTGATTAGCTCTCCATTTCTCTGGGTCAGAAGTCCAGATGTGGGGCAGTGGGCACCCTGCCTGGGGTCTCCCAGCTGGACCACTTTCTGGGCAGAGCTTGGAGGCCTCTCCCTGGCTCATGGTGGCTGGCAGAGCCCAGCTCCTAGCGGCTGTAGGATGGGGGCCTGTTTTCTTGCTACCTGCCTGGTCTGCTTCACTCTAGCCACACCAGCCTTAGTCAGTCCCATGTGGAACTAGCCTCATCCCAGGGCCTTTGCACACACCACCACTTCAGCCTCAGAGGCTGTCCCCTCCCCAGTGACACCAGGGAGCTTGCTCCTGGCCTGAACACTCTCCACCCAGCATTCTGCCTTATTTTTCTTCACAGCATGCATCTGATCTGAGAAGCCCGTTGTCTGTCGGGCGGGTAGGGGCTTTGTCTGTTTTGTTCACTGTGGCATCCCACTAATGCCCAACTTAAGCCATGTCCCAAGGATGAGCCATGGCAGGAAGGTAGGGGCAGGACTTACACCTGTCATGCAGCTGGGCTTGGTGGGCTGCAGGGATGGGTGTCCCACGGGGCAGGTGAGGCTGGGCTCACGGTGTCCCGAGTGTAGGCTTGTCCTCAGAACTGATGCCCCATGCTAGTTAATCTAAGTGCCCCTGTCCTCTGTCCACTGTGTAGCCAGAAGAAGGTGGACACTTCTGTCACTCTGAGTGACCTCACAAAGCTGTGTGAGGTCACAGTGGGTGGGCCAGCTGGCTCTAGCCCCACACTCTACTAGCCTGACTGTGGACAGGAGAAGGTGGCCAGTTGCTTGTTTTATGAAAAAGTCATTCTTCCCTCGGAACAGAACCAAGAGGGTGGGAAGCTGAGGGTCCAGGGGCATGGTGGGTAGGTAAGTTCCCAAGAGGCCCTCCTTGTGGGCAGGAGTAGCTCCATGGGATCCTGCTGTGCTGAAGGCTTCTGTTTTCCAGGCTTGCTTGACCACGTTGACCACTCGTTAGCTGCCGCCATGAAATATGAACCAGAAATCAAAAAGTCCCCACCCCACCTCCTGAAGAAATTTGCAGGTGAGATAGCAAAGATCCCTGGGGATGGTGTTGACTGTTAGCTCCAGGTGCCAGAGCTGGCTGGAGGGAGTTATAAATAACTTGGGGAAACACTGTTTTTCTTAAATTTCATTTCAAAAATTCACCTGAACCTGAAATTTTCTAGGTTAACAAGTAAGAACTATATTTAACTACTGCTATGTTTAGGGGTCAAAGGCATTTTCTCTCTGAGGAGCCAACACACCCCTTGGTTACCCCATGACTTGTACTGGGGAGTCCCTCTTTCACTACAGAAAAGCACCCTTACCAGGGAAGCTCCCTGTCCCGTTTCTGTCTGGGTGACAGACTTCCCCTGGGATCGTCAGAGTGCATAGACAGTTGTGTTGACTTTCGGATCAGGCGAAGGGAGGTTCTGAAGTGAGTGCGCCCAGGCGCTGGGCTGCTGTTTCTATGCTCTCACCTGAGCGTGTACCCACACTACTTTGGTAATAAGCCAACTACAAGAAGATGTGAGGAAGAGAAAAGGAATCTGGTTTTCTTTTTTTGTTGCTTTTGCTTGGAAGGCAGATGAGGGAGCCGTCTCCTCCCCAGGGCCCAGCTGCCCTTGGAGGCCTCTGAGGCTGTGGTGCCACCAGAGCTGTCACCCTGGGGGCAGGTGCCTTCTAGGCTAGGAGGAAGACCCCAAAGGGGTGTCTGATTTTAGCCCCAGAAGGAACAAGACAGGCACCTGGGGACCTGAGGCAGAAGCAGAGGCTGCAAGGCAGCTCCTCTTATCTCCTGGCCCCCTGGTTGTTGGGCGGATACAGGGAACCAAGGTCCCTCTCTAGCTCTCCTGGGCAGCCCTCCTAGTCTCTGCCCTGGGACCCTGTGCACCAGGGCTGCTGGGGGCCCTCACTTGCCCGGCCTGTCTGGGACCATTGGAGGCTGGAGCCCTCCCCAAGGCACTTGGGGCCAGGTGGGGGCCATTCCAGGGGTGCCAGGGCACAGCCATGTTGCCTCTGGGGGCACTGCTGTATGCGCCCACTCTGGGCCCTGCTGGTAGCCTGGAGGACGAGTGTGGGGAGGACAGGGCTGTCTTTGCTCTCCTTTGCAGACTGCCATGCAGCTGTTTCCTTGAGTATTTTGTTGGTTTAGGCTTGTTGGGAAACTGAAATGACAAGGCTGGTTCTGCCCCGTTTTTGAGCTACCTTAGGCATTGCTGTAGGGCCCTGGCATCTGGGTGGAGGAGACAGAGGCAGCCAGGGAGTGTCAGGGCACATCTAGCCGACAAGGGCCTGTCCCTGTAGCTCAGAGCTGCCCTCCACTCAGCCCTGGATGCAATGGCAGGCGCTGCCAGTGAAGGTGGCAGATGAGCACTTTATGGGTGAAGGACGACGACAGGCGGCCTGCCGATGTGGACAGCCCCCTCCCGGGCCTTCACAGGGGCATCCAGCCTGGCCAGAGCTCTGCTCTCCCTTGGTCGCATTAGTGTATCATTTGTCTATCGTCTGCTGGTTGGTCTAAAATTAACGTCAATCCCCTTGCAAAGTTGCCGTGAAGATTAAATGAAATCATTCCTGCCGTTGCGCCTTGTAAGCTGTAAAGTGCTGTGTGCATCTGTGTGTTCTTCTGGGAGTGGCTTGTAGGAAAAAGTCAGGACTCCAGATCCAGCTGTCCCTGCTCTTGGCCTAGGCAGGGAAGGGCCTGGCAAGGGACTGACCCTCCATGTTCTCTGTGCTATGGGGTCTTGCATGTCCACGGTCTGTGTCCTCCGGCCTGAGCTCTCCGTGTCCCAGTTCAACGGTGGAAGTGCACTGGGATGCCAGACGGCTCATGGCCTCGGCCACCTTGCAAACCTGTGGCCTCCTCACTTCTCCTTGTTTGGTTTCTCGAACTCCAGGAGAACTGGGGGCTTTTGTCTCAGACAACTTGATATTGTTTAAGGTGCAAAGTATCAAGGAAAGGGGTCTCTGGCTATAGAGAGAATAGTGCCTTCTTTGTCCTCGCTGGGACAGAGGTGCCAGGACAGACTGCAGGTGTGCGGTGACAGCTCGCTGTAAGGCCCCCCACGTGCTGGTCGTCCTGAGCCAGGGAGCTGTCATACTGCTGGAGGTGTGTGTGCCCGCATGTGTTCAGTTCTGCATTTAGTCCTGGCCTCCTTTCTCCAGAACAGGAGAGCACAGTGGCTGCTGGACTGCAGCAGGCACTGCCATCCCTTCTGTGTGGCTGGACCTGAGCCCATTGGCGCCCTTCTTCCTCCCTGCCCTGCTCTGACCTAGCTAGGTGCAGTGGACCACAGGACCCTCTGAGGACACCCTGCAGGAGCTGGATGTCTGGGCTGCATTCTGGGCACGTGGCCACTCAGTGTTGGGCAGGGTTGCACCCCCCACCTCCCTCCCTCCTGCAGCGGGGTGGGCGGACATCCCCCACCCCTGCTACACGCTGCCTTTGGGAGGCCAGGGACCCCGCTCACCCTGACCTCAGGCCTTTCTTGAGGAGCATGGTGGAGGTGAGGCCGGACATGTGTCTGCAACACTCCTGGGGGAGTGGATTTTGCTCTGAGACGCGGCAAGGGGTGGGTTGGGGTGGACACTGGCAAGATTAAGCACTGGGGGCCAGCGTGGGGGCACTGGAGTTTTCAAACAGGAAAAAACAGTGGGGAACCTGCTACTGTTTGGAATTCCATATTAAAACCATCACAATGGGGAAGAGTGTGCAAATGTTTAGCGAGATCCTGACGTGGTGATGACCCAGGCTTCCCCAGACTCCACGCCTGATGCCTGAGATCCTGGATCCTATCTGCATCTGCCGGGGTGGGTGGAAGAGTCTCCTCCAGAGCCAGCCAATGGCTTGCAAGTGTTTGCGGCTGTGACCACCACCATTAGTATCATCACCCCGGAGTTGGGGTGCTGGCAGAACTCTGACTTCTCTGGAGTGCTAAGTGTGAACCTGGTGCTGGTGACCACCTGGAGCTGCCTTCAGGAGGGGGCCATTGTGGCTTCCATGAGACCCCTGAGGCGGCCCCTTTGCCTGGACACTTTGCGTCCAGCACACAAGGCCTCTGTGCCCAGGAGCACAGATCTCTTCATCCCAGGGCCTCGGGAACCCAGTTGTGCCTAGGTGAGGGCCTGCCCCCACTGCAGGGTCTTTCTGAGGTCCCTCCAACTCCCTCACCCCCGCACAGGAGGGCAGATAGAGCCACACTCCTGAGGAGAGGGCAGTGATGCAGGTGAATGGTGTGTCCTGCCCCATTCAGGCCCTGCCTGACTTTTCTAATGACCTGTGGGGGCTGTGTCAGGAGTGTAAAGACCCCGGCCTTGGTGGTTTGCCACTTGGAGTGGGGTTTCTGGGGACATCGGGGGCTTCTGGGGACATTGGAGACTGTTGGAGACCCTTAGTCTGAAAGGCCAAATTAACCTAAAGAGAGCAAAAGGGGTCCCTTGAGGGTCCTCTCCCTGCCCCATCCCTTAGTGACAGGTTAGAGACTCCAACAGCTTGGTAGTTGCCTTTGGAAAGGTCTCTGCTGGTTGTACCTGCAAGTGCTGTGGGAGCCCCTTCCCTCCCCTTCCCTCCCCTCCCCTCCCCTCCCCTCCCGTGGGTGCAGGGCCCCTCCCCTCCTTGCCTGGCATGGCTTGCTCACTGTGGCCCACCCTGGGCCCCCAAGGTGGATTGAGGGAGCCCTTTAGGCCTTGTCCTTCTCTGGGAGGGGGGTCATAGCCCAGAGCACACTCTTTATGTTTCCTTTTTTATTTTTTGAAGGGTTGAAACTGGCATTAAACTTGTGTCCTTTGGATTCAACTTTTAATTTCTGAGATAGTCCACAGCTTACACATGAGATATGTGGTGTCTCATGGCCAGAGGACCCTGTACAGTTCTGTGTAATTAATGTGACTTTATTTTGTTCAGAAAGTTAATTCATTCTAGATCTCAGTTTCAAAGAGACATTTGTAAGACACAGAATTTTAAAAATAACAAAACCACCATACGCAGCACAGAGGTCCCCCTCCCCCCTTCACATGACCGCAGAGCCCTGTGTTGGGTGGTGATGATTCTCTGCCTGTCTGTGCTTTTGCAGTGTGTGATATTCCTCTGTATGACATTTGTGACTACAACGTCTCCAGAGACCGATGCAAGGAGCTCGGGTGCTGCTTTTACAAAGGCGTCTGCTATGAGAAAGCGGTTCCCAGTAAGTACTGGCACAGCTGTGGTGGCTGGAACTGCACTGTCCACCATCCACCACCCCTGCCTGTCCTCTTTCCAGGGTCTAGGCTTGCTGGAAACACCTGCTTTGTTCTTTGGTCATCTCATTCTGCTCCAGGTGTTAGAGGGGACAGGAATGACCTGGTCTCTGGGGGTAAGGTGTGTGCAGAGGCTGGACTGGGGGAGCCAGGGCTGCAGAAACAGCTGCTGGTGGTCCAGCCAGGACTCTGTGAGGACAACTGAGCCTCTCGGCCCAGCTGGGGACCCTCCTTAGGCTGCATCAGCACCAGACTGGGCCCCTATGCCTGGAAGCAGCGGGGAAAGAGAAGACACAGGTAGGCAGTGTGTGTGTGGGGGGTGCTGTCTCCCCAGCTCTGGGGATTTTTGAAAGAACCACTCTGAGCTGCAGAAAGTGTTCAGAGAGAAGAGGGCGGGAGGAGGAGTGAGAAGGAGAAACCAGGTGCCCTGGGGAAGGGATGTTTGAATTCGGACTCCTGGATGGGTCCTCACAGGTGAGAGTACCTTGCCTTCCGAGCTTCTGGAATTTTCTGAATTACTAGTTCCAAACCTTCATAAAAGTCCACTTAAAGAACAATGCATTTCCTTGCCCAGTTTGTGGCCCTTTTGGAAATGAAGGTGAATGGGCCTTGGCACCATCTGGGCAGATGGCAAGTTGGAAAGAGCTGCCTGTGACGTCACCCCCCTCGTGCCACTTTCCAGCCCCCCAACCCTTGTGGGAACAAAGTGAGGCCCCTGTGGATGGGAAGTGCTGGACCTCCCTGCACCACCCCTGCCCCCAGCACCTGTTGTTGAATAAATGCACCCAGTTCTTTTCATCTACGCTCAGTACGGCTCAGGAAGTCAGGGAACATCAGTGATGGGGGCACTGCCAGATAGAGCCTGTAGAGAAGAGTGGACAGGACGCTGGCTTGCACCGGGGGACGAGTCTGTTTTGCTTAATCGTGAAGTTCTGTCACCTAACCAAAAGAAGATAAATTTTGGCTTTTCAAAAAGAGGCAATAAGAAGTCACAATGTGCACTGTCATAGTCAGAAAGAATTTCTGATGATGATGTCTGCTCAGATTTTGGTTTTAGAAGACTTGGGACCAGACTCTTGCTTCAGGAGACCCCAGTATTCCTAGGATCCAATGCCCTCCCTGCCTGCAGGGGAAACCATTGGAAGTTGCCTTATTTTTTTGGTTGTTATTTTTCTTGAGATAAAATTCTCATACCATAAAATTAACTGGCTTTTTGTCTCCTCACAAAATTGTACAACCATCACCACTCTTTAATTCTAGAACATTTTCAGCCCCCACCCCCCACATCTCACACCCCTTCACGGGCAGTCCCATCATCCCCACCTATTCATAGAGACGGGCTAGACAGTTAGTATAAATGGACCACACAAAAGGTTTCTTTCACTGTTGTAGATTTTAAGGTTCATCCATGTCATAGCATATATTAATACTTCATTGGTTTTTTATGGTTGAATAATATTCCATCATGTGATTATGCCACATTTTGTCTTTCCATCACTCAGTCGGAGACATTTGAGTTGTTTCTGCTATTTGGCTATTATGAATAAGGCATAAGTTTTTATGTGAAACGTGTTTTGATTTATTTTGGGTATATACCTAGGTGGGAGATGTCCAGGTCATATATTGATTCTATATTTTATTTTTAAACTATTTCCCAAGATGGCTGCACTGTTTTATGGTCCCTCCAGCAATGAATGGGAATTCTAATTTCTCTGTATCTTCATCAACACCTGTTGCTGTCATTTTGGGTACAGCCATTATAATAGTGTGAAGTTGTACCTCTTTCTGGTGATGATTTGTGTTGTCCTAATGAATGACGCGGAGCATCTTTGCATGAGCTCATTGGCTAGTTATGTATTTCTCTGGGGAAAAGTTTATTCAAGTCCTTTGTCCAGTTTTTAGTTGGATTAACTGGTTAGCTGTCTTTTTGCTATGGGGCTGTAAGAGCTCTTTATCTATTCTGGATATTAGACCCTTATCACAGAATGATTTGAAAATGCTTTCTTTTACTCTCTTGGTCATCTCTTCACTTTCTTGGTAGTGTTGTTTGACGCACAGCGGTCTTTATTTTAATGATGTCCATTGTATCTGTTTTTCCTTTGCTTGTGCTTTGGTGTCATATCTAAGAAATCATTGCCTAATCCGAGGCCTCAGAGAGTTGCACCTGTGATATCTGCTAAGCGTTTTCTAGTTATACCTCTGATGTCTATGTCTGTGATCCATTTTATGTGTGGTGCAGGGACAGTATTCATTCTTTTGTGGGTGAATATTTAGTTTTCCCAGCAGCATTTCTTGAAAAGACAATCTCTCCCCCATTGAATCAGCAGCCTGATTGAAAAATCTATTGTCCATAAAAGTGAGAGTTTATTTCTAGACTCTCCTTTCTAGTCCACTGATCAGTATGTCTGCTCTTAGCCAGTCGGTACTGCATAGTTTTGATTACTATAGCTTTGCAGTAAATTTTGGAATCAGGAAATGTGAGTGCTTCACTTTCATTGTTTTTCGAGATTGTTTTGGCTCTTATGGGTCCCTTACATTTCCACACCAATTTTAGGACCAGCTTGTCAATTTCTGCAAAAAAGAAAAAGCCACCTGGTATTTTGATAGGGGTTGTGTTGAATCTGAAGATAATCTGGAGAGTACTGCCAGACTCAAGATATCTGAAGATAATCTGGAGAGTACTACCAGAGACTCAAGTATTCAAGAAGACTTGAGTCTTCTGTTCCATGAGTAAAGGATGTCTTTCCATTCATTTAATGGAAAAGTCTTTGTTTTCTTTCAGTAATATTTTGTAGTTTTCAATGTACCAATCTTGACCTTAATTTGTCAAATTTATTCCTAAATATTTTACTCTTTTTGTTATTATTATAAGCAGAATTATTTTCTTAATTTCAATTACCATTTGTTCATCACTAGCAGCATTATAGAACTCAGTTGATTTTCATATATTGAGCTTGTATCTGGCAATCTTATTAACTCGCTTTTAGTTCTCTTACTTTTTTTAGTTGATTCCTAAGATTTTCTACATGTAAGGTCATCTGCAAATAGAACTAGCTTAACTTCTTCCTTTATAATCTGAAAGGCTTTCATCCCATTTTCTTGCCTGCTTTCTCTGGCTAGGACCTCCAGTGACTAGAAGTTGTAAGGATAGGATCCTTGTGACTGATTTTAGGGGGACATTTCATGTTTCGTCATGGCATGATGTTAACCGTGGGTTTTACCAGATGCCACTTATCATGTTGAGGAAGTTTCTTTCTCTTCCTAGTTTGCTGTGTTTACCATGAATGGGTGTTAGGATTTATCAAATTCTCTTTCTGCAGCTATCACGTGCCTTAATGGTGCTCTTTGTTTCTTCGTATGGATTTGACTCGCTACTGACTGTCTACTGTCCTTTAATTTTATCTTGAAGGACTCTCATGTTTCTTGTGAAGAAGATTTGCAGTGAAGAGTATTCTGACTTTTTAAAATCTGAAATGTCTAAACTTATTTTTCACTGTTGAAAGATAGAATTGTTGGACATAAAATTGTTGGTTGACAGTCACCTTAGAAGCTTTATGCCATTGCCTTCTGGCCTCCGTGGGTTGTGATGAGAAACTGCTGTTAACCGTAGGACTCCTTTGTACATAGTGTCTCGAGTCTGACACACCGCTTTCAAGATTCTCTTTTGTCTTGATAGTTCATTGTGTCTCTAGGATTGGATTTCTTTTTGTCCTTCTCAGAGGTCACTGTACTTCTTGATATGTAGATTAATGTTAATCAAATGTAGCAAGTTTGGCAGTCTTTCAGATGCAGTATAATGTTTCTGCCCCTTCATCTTTCTCCTCTCCCTCTGGGACTCCTATTATGTGTATTTGGTATACTTCATGGTGTCCCACAGGTCTCTACTGCATATTTTTAAAATGCATTATTATTGTACTTTATTTTATGTATTTTAAAATGCGTGTTATTGTACTTTTAACTCCAGAATTTCAATTTGTTTTTTTTGTTTAGTAATTTTTATTTTTTGTTGATATTCTATAATTGAAGAAATGTTATTCTCATACTTCTCATTATTTCTTTAGATATCATTTCCTTTAGTTTTTTGAATGTAGTTCAAAATGGTTGATTTAATGTCTTTGTCTAGTAAGTTCAGTCTGAGCTTCTTTAGGAATAGTTCTGTTGACAGCACTGTCGTGTGTATGGCCATACTTTGTCATTTATCTGTTTTATGTCTCATATTTTTGTTGAATACTGCACATTTTAAGTAACATAACATGACAACTTCAAAATTAATTCCTTCACCATATTAACAGACCATATCACTGCTTTGCTGTTGTGATTATTGTTTATTTGATGACTTTTCTGAGCTAAATCTGTAAAGTCTGCATTTTTTTGTAGCGTGTGAACACTGAGTACTCCTTGGTTAACCTACTGGTCAGACAATAACTGGACAAAAATGTTCTTAGATATCTGAACACATAAGCCTCTTAGGCTTCACGGAGGGGCTTTGTGTGTCTGTGAGTGCACACTTTTGGCTCTCAGCCAGATGGTTCCCAGCTCTGCCTTCATCTTCATTTCCTGCCAATGCCGAGCCTCAAGATCATCCAGAGGTGAGGGCTTGGACTTTACTAGGCATGCCCAGGCCTCTGGGCATGTCTCTGGCTCTTTAGATTACCAGGAATATGTCCCAGCTTTTCAAAGCTCCCTATAGACATTGCACAAGATTCTCCTTTTAAGCTTTTTGGTTAGCCTTTCTGTTCTTTCCCAATTATGTATTTACCATGTTAGCTGGCCACGATTTTAAATAATTACCTCTAATTCAGTGGCTGAGAACTGTATTAAAGGGCCACGGCATTAGGGAGATCGAGAACCACTGCTCTAATTGTTTTCAACACATGCCTGGTGAAAAGGGTGTTCTTGCTAAATGATCTAAGGTCAAATAAAGACAGTCTTCCAGGGAAGCACCAGATGAATAAGGACAATTCTCTGGCAGTGGGGCTTGGAAGAAGCTCCAGCCCTGTTCTGTCCCACAAGTGGCTGCCAGGCTGCTGGTCTTCACCATGATTATGGGCTGTTGATTTCCAAAGTTACCATGAAGCCAGAGGGTGGGCAGGGCAGGTGTGGTCAGGGCTGGTTAAAATGTCCAAACTTGCTGTTCTTACTGAGATTCAGCTGTTCATCTTGAAAAAATGACTTTCTGTAAGCTTTTGGTAAATTTCCAGACTTCTGAAAAGCTTCTTCTGATAATTGTTGACAGAGTTCTTATTGCTTTTACGGAGGAGGGAATGGGGGTGGGGAGGTCCTTTCTCTGCTACCATCTTTCTGAAAGTTAACTCTGGACGTTACTGAACCTCTAGTCCAGTTGTACACTATTGGATAGTGACAGTTAAACAGGACAGGGTACCTTTGCTGCGGGAGTCCCTTCTCCTCGTCCTGCTGTGTTGTGAGCCCATGGCCTTTAGCTAGGGCATTCCTTAGAGACCTTTTTGAGTGCCAGGCCCTCTGGTGTTGAATGTTCTGTCGTATTGCTGCAGTCTGCAGCTCCTTTTCCAGGGCTGGTGACAGATACTCCTGAAGCAGAAGTCATGGCACTGGGTGGTGATTTAGCCATAACTGCTGCTTTTACCTGTCTGCCTCCGCATCCTGGGATTGTGCTCCTGAAGAACTCCAGGCTCCTAAGCACTTATGCAGCTTAGTTTTTCTGAGAAGTTTACCATCTGGGGCTCCTAAGAGCAAGAAAAATAAGCATCCAAAAGATATTTGAGTTTGTTCTTTTAATTTTCTCCATACACAGATGTAGAAGATGTTTGAGTCCCAGGCCATGTCCCAGGGCTGGGCAATGGTCTTTGGTAATTAGTGGTTGTAGTTTCCTTATGTCCCAGTGAAACAGAGACCCTGTGGGAAAGTGGGTCATTGTAGGAAGATTGCTGCCGAGAGGGCAGCTCAGACCCAAGCTGCTGCTGCTACTTTTTCAATGTGTCCCATGCCCTGGGCATCTTTTCATTGGAGTTTTATGCAGGTGGTGGCCGTTTTGTCAGTGTGGGTATGACTATTACCATACACCTGTCACTCACGTGAGCAATGAGCCTCATCACCTTCCTTAGCCGTGTGAGGAACCTAGGAAGGCACATGGGCTCTCCAGAATGTTCCTGAACAGGGCAGCTTTGTAAGTGTGGGTGCTGCATTTGCATGGAAGCAACTTTAACCTTCTTTTCATCCTTCCAGTTTTAATAAATGGGTACTGTGGCTATGCTTTTTCCTGGCTTCTGACTTCTTTGCAGCTCGAGAGGCTGGGCCGTCTGTGGAATGAGTCTGGGCAGTGAGCCTGCATTTGGGTTCTCACTGTGCCCTCAAATTATGTTTCATTTCTTTGACATCTTTCTCTTTCAAAACGACAAATGAACCTTTGTGCTGTGCAAGTTGTAGTATTCAGTGACAGGGTGTTACGAGTTCTTTGTGCACATAATTCCATGTTATGAAAACCTTTCACCAACTTCTTAAATGGGCTGGTTTGAAGTGCACATTGTGTTATGGCATAATCTGTGTTATTAAGAGTATGAACTTGGGGAATTAGCATTAGATCTTTCAGAAAGAACTGGGAATTCAAAGAGAAAGACTTGCCTTCATTCTTCAGTCTTGACTTAGGGTACGTTATTTAACATGTCATTTCTTATAAGTACTTGACTTCAGTTTCTTCATGGGACTTGCTGAGATGATTTCAGAACTTTTGTTTAGCTACATTTGGGGAGACTTCACCAAAATTCAAGCAAACAGTCCTTTCTTCAGTTGTCGCTATTTCTGGACGATCAACCATAGCATGCGGCTTATGCTCTGTTGGGGTTTCTCACAGATAATGTCACTGCACAGACACTGCCAGAGAGATAGACGGGTTCAGTCTCTGTCTTCGGGAGCTTGACATGGAGGAGAAAATTACAGGCACCTGCAAAGCTGTGGAAGTTCCACCAACCGGGACGCTATAGCACCAGCTAAATATTAGATGCATCTCCGTAGGATTCATTCATGTATAGTTTTAAATTTATTCGATGAACTAAGACACAAAATCATAGTAAGCAGTGACCTCAGGGTCCCTCCCTATCCCTTAAAAGTTCTCTCTCTCACTTTATTTGTTCATTACTGTTTACTTGACTCTTTGTTCCCGTCATTTGAGGTGCACAGCTCTGGGCCATGCCTTGTCTTCATTTTTCATTGCTGTGTGAGAAACTACCCTCAGGTCAGTGCAGCAGCATCTGGGAGGCTTAGCAGGTGCTTTGGGCTTGGAAGTCCCACGAGGCTGCTGTCACCTGAAGGCGTGGCTTCCAAGGTGCTAGGAAGCCTCCTCCTACCATGAGGAGTGTGTCCCAGAGCAGTGGCCCAAGAGAGGGCAGGGTGGCCGCTGGTGTCTTTTCACTCAGGCTCCTTCCATGGCAGAGGTCCTCCCTGTCGCTGGCACCACCCTGGAAGCTGGGATGGCAGCCCTGGGGAGGGACAGGCAGGCTCTATTACCCTCCCTCCTTAGAAAGTCACCATGTGAGGTCATGAGCTGATGGACTGCAGACCCTCCTTTGGGCTTCCTGGTTTGTTCCTTGCTGTGGGCAGGAGCCTGTCATGTGATGAACCCAGCCACTGAGTGCCCACTATATACTTCACTTCACTCACTGAGATCACATAATGTGGGAGGAATCAAGGACTTGGGGTGCTGTTGTGAGCTGGTTGGCTTTAACCCCTCTCTGGCTTATGACTTGAGTCCCATGTACAGGGTCTGGGTAGTCTTATCCTTTCCTGGAGACCCTGCAGATGAGTCTGGGGGGTGCAGGACCCATGAAACCTGCTCCTGACCCTTGGTGGTGGATGGGACTGTGCCTGCCCAAAGCCTTTGCCAGAGTGCACATCACTGGTACCCGTGTGACCTTAGTGGGAAAGATGGCCTTTGTGGATGTAATTAGTTACTCTGAGGCCTCGCTGGAGTCGAGTGAGCCTTTATCTGCTATGGTGGTGTCCTCATAAAGGGAAGGAGACGCAAAGGTGGGGAACACGGGAGCCGTGTGACGCTGGAGATTGGCATGACATGGCCACAGACTGAGCCGGGGGCTGTCAGGAAGCAGGGCTGCCTCCCGGGAGCCTGCAGAGAGCAGGGCCTCTGACAGCTGGTCTCCACTGTGGCCTGCAGTCTGTGGGACAGGACCTTCTCTGCAGCCACCTCGCAAACTGATGGACTGTGCAGGGAGGCAGCACCTAATAGCGTCACTGCTGTCAGAGGCACCCAAAGCAGGCCCAGGAGGAAGCGCGGGGGAAACGGAGCTGGTGGTGCACACGCAAGGCAGCCAGCATCTTTCTCTGAGAGTAAAAGTGGTTAGGGAGGAGAACAACAGTGACCTCGGCAACCACAGGAGTCACGTGCACAGGCTACCTGCTGGGCCTGTGAAGACCTTCACTTTACCATTAATTTTTTAAAAGTCCTCCCACCAACCTGATGGCAGAATGTAGAAGGATGGAACTAGAGTAAGAGAGTTATTTGACCACAGGACTTGCCTGGGAGCAATGCCTGTGTGGAAATATTAGGGCTGAAGTGGCCCAGGGAGTTAGCCCTGCGATTGGCTGAGCCCTGAGCAGCAGATGGAGATAGCAATGTTAGGCCGGGCCTGGCTTACCCTCTGCACCCAGAGGCAGGTGCCACACATCTCTGCACAGACAGGCCATGGTCCCCAGGGGGCCACAGGGATGGGCTGAGCAGCCAACCCCATTCTTCCTCCCAGCTCCCCCGTCCTGGGGTGTGCAGAGAGACTGAGACTGTGTGGTCACATGGATTCTGCACAGGGAGATGTGGGGTGTAGTGGCCACCCCCAGGTCACTTTGAAAGGCTCTGGTCACTTTGTGGGCTGGGTTTAGGGAGACAGAAGCAGCTCGGGGATGGTGGAGGCACCGTAGCAAGTCAGAGAAGCTCAGGCAAGCCCAGGGACATCTGTCTGTCATCCCCACAGCATTTGCCTTGTGTTCAGTGCTGGGGACAAATTGACCCAGGTGTCGAGTGACTATTTCCTGGGAACAGGGCAGGGTGTGGGGTTGGGGTGGCCACAGGAGAGGCAAAGGTGCCACTGTCTCTACCGTGCTCTTCAGTGGGCAGAGTGGTCACAGGAGTCCTCGAGGCACTGTCCTGGGCTGCCTCCCATGCAGATGCTGGAGCCCGAGTGTCTAGGTGAGGGCAGGTGAGGCCGCTGGCCTGCCCAGTTAGCTTTCTCTTTTCTCTTTTCCTTTTCCCAATGAACTTGGGTCCAAATGATTCAAATGAACTTGCTTTCCAGTTTACGTGCAAGTGTTCTCTGCCTTGATCGTGATCATTGCCGGGGCCTTTATCATCACCATTATCTACAGGTGGGTCACGTCTGCCCTTTCCTGTGGACACCAGGCTCCCAGAGTGGGCTGCGGGGGGACACCCACTGCCTCTGCTTCCTTGGGGCTAGTGCTGCCGGGCCAACCCGGAACAGCAGTGTGCACCTGGGCTCCAGGAGCTCGCCTGGCGGGGGGACGCCAGGGGTCTTCTCTAGTTGGCGGAAACCACAGCGATGGCAAATGAGCCCCTGAACCTCTAAGACAGTGTTCTTCAGCCTTTTTATCTCACGGCTCACTTGAACCTACAGTTAAACTTCCGAGGCACACTTAAATTTTGTTGACCAAAAAAAGAGTAAAAAAAGAATATACTGGCTCGGCGCCTGTGGCTCAAGTGGCTAAGGTGCTAGCCACGTACAGCTAAGGTGGCAGGTTCGAATCCCCAGCCTGGGCCCGCCAAACAACAATGATGGCTACAACCAAAAAATAGCCGGGCGGGTGTGGTGGGCGCCTGTGGTCCCAGCTACTTGGGAGGCAGAGGCAGGAGACTCGCTTGAGCCCAGGAGTTGGAGGTTGCTGTGAGCATGATGCCACGGCACTCTACCCAGGGGGATAGCTTGAGGCTCCGTCTCAAAAAAAAAAAAAAAAAAAAAAAGAATATACTTACTGTACTTTGAACTTCTTTTGAAAATAATTTGATTAATGATCTTCAAAAATTTTCGTGACACACCTAAGATCCTCTCATGGCTCAGTGGTTGAAAATTGCTGTTCTGAGTGCTCTTAGATCAGTGATAGGATTCCGTCTTGGGAACCTAGGGGTTCTGCATCTGTGGGAGGGCAGCAGAGATCCAACTTGGCCCCCCATGGTCTCCACAGCCCCCAAGTCTCTGTGGCCCGGGTCATGTGTGCAGAATCAGGGCTCCTCTCCCTCTCATGTAAAGGTGAGGAAATGCAGACCCCAGGCGACAGCAGCTGGTGGCTGCCCACAGGGCAGGGCCAAGGATCTTCCCACAAAAGCCCTCTCCTTGTGGCATGCGCACAACCACTGAGATTATTGTCACTTTGTCCAACAAGCAGAGCCATTTGCCTCCTGTGTGGTGCTGCCTGGTGTCCTGTGTGAGGCCTGCTGCCACCTGCAGCCTGGCACGTCCTTCCCTCCCAGGCACTGTCTCTGGTGGCCCAGCTGCCACAGTGGCCTTTTTGGAATATGCACAAGACACTGTAATGTGAACCATGCAGGCACGCAAACACACGCGTGATCACCAAATCCCTTTTCAGAGGATGTCGGGTGGGCGGCCAGGAGAACCTTCTGCCTATTGTTTTCTGTCATGACAAGAACCCGCTTCCCCTCAGAGTGGTTCGAGAGAGCAGGAAAGAAAAGGAGGCACCTTCGGAGGCTCCGCCCTCCGGCAAGACCAGTGAGAAAGACATGGCGTCAACCAACCCTCCGTCGGAGATGAAGACCGGCACTCCAGACACCACGAGGGCGAGCAGTGAGGCCCAGGAAGACGGTGAGATGTCCCCAGGATGGGCTGGGTGGGCACCATGTGTCTCCTCCCAGACTTTGCTCGTGGAAAGCCCTTGTAGCTCCATGGACCCCTCAGTGAAAGTTCTAACTGTTTCTTCAGTTTGGGCAAAGTTCTAATTTAAAAGAGCAGGTTTGCCAGGTAGCTCTGCTCTCAGGTGGGTTCCCTGCTCCGAGCCCTCGTCCTCCCTTCCTGCCCGCCCATCATCCCCGCTCTCCTGGCAGACAGGACAGCATGTCAGCAGGGGGCAGGTAGGGGGTCCAGCAATCGGGCTTCTTGCAGGGCCATGGCTGCCATCTGTGCACCTGGACCTGACGGCCAGTGGCCATGTTTGCAGGGGGACAGCAGCTCGGCACCTGCTGACGGCCTGACGGCCAGTGGCCGTGGTTGCAGGGGGGACTGCAGCTGGGCACCTGCTGACGGCCTGACGGCCAGTGGCCGTGGTTGCAGGGGGACAGCAGCTCGGCACCTGCCGCTGGGTTGCAGGAAGCCTATTGCTCACGTGCTGACTGACCCCTCAGGGGCCTTTGGAAGTTGCTTGTTGGTTTTCCTAGATCAGCACCTTGCCAGGTTAGAGGAAGAAGCCTCTCAAATGATGAGGCTTGTCTTCAGAGACGTTTGTGAGGGAACATAATGGTCTTGCTGTACTGGGCAGTGGAGACAGGCAGGGACTGGCACGAGGTCGGGCGCGGAACTCCGGGCCTCCCCACGGCGCGTCTGTGTGTGCCATGCGCCTGTGTGACGTGTGCTCCCCTTATCCCCTACAGGCACTTTCTGTGCAGCAAGATGACGCCTCTCTTTTACTCTTTTTTTTTTTTTTTTTTGAGATAGAGTCTCACTTTGTCACCCTTGGTAGAGTGCCGTGGCATCACAGCTCACAGCAGCCTCCAGCTCTTGGGCTTAGGCGATTTTCTTGCCTCAGCCTCCTGAGTAGCTGGGACTGCAGACGCCTGCCACAACGCCCGGCTATTTTTTATTGCAGTTTGGCGGGGGCCGGTTTCGAACCCGCGACCCTTGGTACGTGAGGCTGGTAACCAACCCACTGAGCCACAGTTACCCATAAAAGATACTGTTCCCCGGAAGCCCCGGAGCAGCCCAGCGGCCCGCAAGCTGGTTACAAGTAAATGCTTCCCCGCTAGGCATGTGGATGTGTCCAGGGGCCCTGCTGAGGTCTCCTTGGGATTGCTCATTATTCCATTTGAAAACAAAAAACTTTTTCTTGTTTAAAAATCTAGCCACGGTGACAATAGCAGAAATGGATGAAAATGAAGATTGAGATGCAGAAGAAGAGGTGAGGTTGGCAGAAAGGCCCAGACGGGTGCAGGGCCAGTGAGCACTGCTCAGTCACCAAACACAGTGACTGCTGATGAGAAAAATAAAGGTATTTTGAAAATTGCCTCTGGTTTGGGGTCATCTTATTCTTTGCTGTATGTTTATCCCAGGGGAGAGAAGCCCTCTGGGACATGAGAAGGTGAACCGATTTTAGGGTTCAGGGTCACATGCTCTGGCCTTCACAGAGGCTGCCTTTCAGCACGCAGACCGCACCTGCCCAGGGTGCACGCTCATGGACAATTCCAGATGTTGCCAGCATTGGGCTTTGACAATGATGAGGACCAGGGGGTCAGGCAGGTGCAGCGGCCCTCAAGTCCCCTCTCCAGGGTGGAAAATGCAAAGTTGCCACAGTGCACAGACCAGCCCTGGCAGCCCTGACCTTGGAGACGCTTTTCTTTTTTTAACCTTGGAAATGGTCAGCTGGGGTGTGTATAGCCGTGTGCTGCTGGTTTTAAAGAGCAGTGACAGGCAATTCAGATGGACCAGACACCGCCCACTCAGGGTCCTGTGGCAGAGGTCAGTATACAGAGTCGTTAGAAGTTCCTCATCTATGTTCTGACCAGCAGATTCCAGGTCTGTCCTGCTCTAGCCTCCTGGGGGGAGGGGGGAGTCCGCTTACGGGGTATGTCTTGCTGCTGACCCTCCTTCTCACGAGCATCTCACCCACCCTAGTCAACTGAGCCTTTCCATTGGTCTGCATCAGGAGTCTGGTTCTAACATATTAGAAAAATAAAAATCACATGGACTGTTTTTTCTGATCACAGTGAACAAAATTAGAAATCAGTAATGGAAGGAACACTGGAAACTGTATAATCCCATGAAAATTCAACAGCTCTGGAACATCACATAAGGCAATGAAGAAATGAAAAAGAAAAATTAAAAAGTTCTTTGAGACTAGTGAATATGGAAACACAGTATTGGAGCCAAAACTCAGAGATACAGCAAAAGCAGTTCTGGGAGGGAAGTTTATAGACCTAGGCACCCACATCCAAAGAGCAGAAAGACACTCAGCAAACAACCTAATGTTACACTTTACAGAATATAAACACAAGACAACTAAATCCAAGATTAGTGGGAGGAAGTAAATGGCAAAGATCAGAACAGAAAATGGAGATTAAAAAACCGAAGAACATCAAAAAACAGTTTGTTTTTTGAAAAGATAAATGATATTGGTGAGCCTTTCACGAGGCTGACTGGAGATAAAAGACTCGAGTAAATAAAATGAGAGATGAGAAAGGGCATCCTACAATTGACACGACAGAAACACGAAAGCATCCCAGGAGACTATTACGACAACTCCATGCCCAGATTGGAAAGTGCGGCAGAAATGGCCAAATTCCTGAACACAGACAATGTCAAAATTGCATCATGAAGAAATGCACAGTCTTAACAGGCAATAATGAGTAACAAGATTAAAGCAATTAATCAAAGATAAACAGTTTCTCTTCAAAGGAAAACCCAGGGCCTAAACTTCTCTGCTGACTTCTACCAAACATTTGAAGGAGAACTAGCACCAAAATTTTTCCTCAAACTCTACAAAAAAAATCTAAGAGGACAGAATGCTTCCCACTCGTTCTCTGAGGTCAGCATTACTATGATACAGAACCACACCAAGATACAACAACAAAAACCCGTAGAACAAGATGTAAAATTCCTCCACGACATACTGCCAAATTCAGAAACATATTAAAAAATCATTCACCATATGAGATGGTCTGGATGTGGGGTCCCTCCAAATCGCATGTTAAATTTGATTCCTAGTGTTGAGTGTGGGGGTTGGGGGGAGAGTGCTTGGGTCATGGGGGCAGGACCCTCATCAATACCTTTGTGGCTGCCCTGTGATGATGAGTGGGTTCTGATAAAGAGTGAGTTCTGATAGGAGTGGGTTCTGATGATGAGCATGTTCTGATAAGGAGTGGATTCTGATAGGAGTGGGTTCTAATAATGAGGGGGCTCTGTTAAGGAGTGGGTTCTGATAAAGAGTGAGTTCTGATAGGAGTGGGTTCTGATAGGAGTGGGTTCTAATAATGAGGGGGCTCTGTTAAGGAGTGGGTTCTGATATGAATGGGTTATGATAAGGAGTGGGTTCTGATAGGAATGTGTTCTGATAAGGAGTGGGTTATGATAGGAGTGGGTTCTGATAAGGAGCAGGTTCTGATGAAGTGGGTTCTGATAAGGAGTGGGTTCTGAAGACTAGTGGGCTCCCGTGAGAGCTGACTTCACCAGAGCTTTGCATCACCTCGTCCTCTCTTGTCCCTGCTCTCACTGTGACACACCTGTTCCCCTCCCCCTTCCCCCTTTTTAAAAACTCCCTGACGCCCTCACCAGGAGCAGATGCTGGTGTCAAGCTTCTTCCAGGGCCTGCAAAGCTTTGAATAAAATAAATTTTCTTTATAAACTATTCAGCCTCAGGTGCGTTCTTTATAGCAATGCAAATGGACTAACACACCTCAACCAAGTGGCATTCATTTCAGGGTGCAAGGATGGTTCAACCTATGCAAATCAGTAAATGTGATACATTACATTAACAGAATTAAGAGCAAAAGCCATATAAGCATTCCAATGGATTCAGAAGAAGCATTCGATAACATTCTATATCCCTTCATGATAAAAAACTTGTAACAAATTAGGTATTTAAGGAATGTAACACAATAAATGTCATATATGACACACCCACATTTAATATCATACTGAACAGAGAAAAGTTGTCCTCTTGTGTGAAGATGCTCTCATCCTCCTCCTCCTGTGTGAAGACCTTCTTGTCCTCCTCCTCCCATGGGAAGACCCTCTGTCCTCCTCATCCTGTGGGAAGACCCTCTTGTCCTCCTCTTCCTGTGTGAAGACCCTCTTGTCCTCCTCCTCCCATATGAAGACCCTCTTGTCTCCTTCCTCCTGTGTGAAGACCCTCTTGTCCTCCTCCTCCCATATGAAGACCCTCTTGTCTCCTTCCTCCTGTGTGAAGACCCTCTTGTCCTCCTCCTCCCATACGAAGACCCTCTTGTCCTCCTCCTCCCATATGCATGCACTGTGTAGTCTGTGTGTTGTATGTTCTGTGTGCTGTGTGTTCTCTGTGCACATGTGTTCTGTGCACTATGTATTCTGTGTGTTGTATGTTCTGTGTGCATGTGTATTCTGTGTGCTGT